GGTTCACAGGTGGGAAATGGTGGGTTTGCGGTGCAGGCGGTCTGACTCCAGAGCCACTACCAATACTGCCTCCTCAGGTTAAGTAACGTTCCTAGATAGGCCCCGCTAGCTTATAACTAAGAGCTTAAATCAAACCCAGGCAGTCGGATGCCCAAGTCCTAGCATTTAATCACCACATTGACTGGTTGTAAATAGGTGAACTGCTCCTCACAGCCTATATATATGTTTATTTTCATTTCCGATTGTAGAGTAGTAGGTTACATGGTTATCACATAATTTAGGCTGACCTAAAAATTCTAGGCATTTTCCCTTTTTAAATTAAAAACAAGGAGCAGAGAAGGCCTTTTTAGAGACTCAAGAAGGCCTTGAGTTGGACCCAAAGCTGCTCTTAAGGCTTCCTTAAGCCTTAAGCCTTGCACGCGCACACACACACACACACACACACACACACACACACACACACACGGGAAGGGTGGAGATTGGGAGAGATTTTAGTTATACCCATAGGGACCCAAGCTTTGGACATGGAGGTAAGGAAAGGACAAGAGCATGCCAGCAATAGTAAATTCTGGTTTTACGTGTGAGAAGTTAGTGAGGATAAGCTCTGAACAGGGAAAAACGACGCCTACAGGGATGCACTTCTGATTTCAGCCACCACCTTTCAGGGTGAACTCATCCAGATCCTTCAGTGCCATCTTTAAAATGGGAATACAATCTCCATGACCATGATCCAGACTGCTCATATAAAACTATGGATCCTGAAAGTACTTGGTAGTTTCTTCTTTACAAGACTTGTGACCGGTGTCATGAACAAGTAGGCCTTTAGTAATAATTTCTGAATGCAGTCATTTTCAAGGAATTCTGATGAGGCCCAAGGGACCTAAAGTTTTGCTCTACACAAGGGCAGATTATTAGCCTCCTCCTCTCCCCTTCTGCATTCCTCCCTCTTCCTAGAATTTGCCCTTGAGGTTGGAGGGGAAACCTGAACTCGAAAATCAAGTCTGGCTTCTCTCTCTTTCCCTGACCCAGGGCAAAATAGTCTCTCCCTCATTGGAGAGGCACTCTTCTCTGTGCGGAGTACTATTGGCACTTTACAGGGGCCAGTTTAACCGCAGGAGTCCGATTTTTGAAAGATGCTGAGGGAGGGAATTCTGCCGCCAGCAGATGGAGAGGAGACTGAGATCAGCTTGGTCCCTCCCAACCACGCTCCCTCTGGGATTAGCAGCCCCTGGCACTGCTCAGGCGTACCCAGCCCGTGCGGCCTCTGCTCGCACAGTTCCCGTCGCCTGTCTGGAGCGCGGACGCAGTCACAAGTCCGCAGCCAGCAGAGCCGCGCTGTCTGGGGCATCTCCCTGCTCCGTGTCCGCGGACCTGGAACCTCGAACGGGCGCGAACGCCACTCGGAACGCGTGCATCTCTGTATGTGCTTATTTCGCATTCTTGTCTTTTCTTTCTTCCTCGAGTGGCCCGCTGGTTACTTTCAATCTTAGTTTACCAAAAGGGCAACGCCGAAGAGGGAAATCCCTAAAGAGTGATTTAGAGGCAACCCAGCCGCCTCTCCAAGGAGAGGTGTTCACTGAGAGACTCTCCCCGTCCCCGACGCTGGCCCCTTTAAGACGCCAACTCAGTCCTGCGCGGAGGCTGCTGCTGCTGCGGCGGCGGCGACGGCGGCTTGCTGCTGTTTGTATCGCTAATCCCCAGGAGCCCCGTTTAAAAAAAAAAAAAAAGAAGAAGAAGAAAAAAGAAGGGGGGGGGGGGGTACCGGGCAGCTGTCTCTTTAAATGTGATTTCCTTCTATTGTATTTGAATCGTGATCAGGAAAAAGGAAATGAAACCAGAGACAGAGGGAAGCTGAGCGAAAATAGACCTTCCCGAGAGAGGAGGGAGCCGGGGGAGAGAGGCGCAGTCCCCTCCCGGCCCCCAGGCCGCCGCCCCCTCCCTGCCCTCGGCGGCTAGCTGCGCGCCGCGACCCGGGCCGAAGGGGCGAGGGGCGAGGGGCGGCCGGACGGTCGCGCCCCATTCCCGCGGGCGGCGCGGAGCCGGCGACAGCGCGCGAGCCGAGCCGGACCGGGCGGCGGCGGCGGGACCGGGATGGAAGGTTAAGTCCTGAGCAGCGGCGGCAGCTGCAGCCGCCCGGGGCAGGCTGCGCGCCCCTGTCCCCGCCTCGGCCGCGGCGCGCGGCAGCCCGGTGATTCGCTCTCTCTCTTTGGCGTTTGAAGGGAGCGCGGTGACTGTCCTTGAGCGCGGAGGGGCGAGCTCGCCGCCAGAGCGCCGGAGCAAGAGGAGGCGCAGGAGCGGAGGCGGCGGCGCCCGAGCATCCGAGGGGGTCCGAGCCTCGGCAGCCGGCCAGCCCCGCGCCACAAAGGGAGCGCCCCCGCCGCCTGGCACACCACCTCCCTCCCCAATGTCTTCGGCCATCGAGAGGAAGAGCCTGGACCCGTCTGAGTAAGTGCAGCGCCCCTGCCACCCACGATGTCCACGGCCTCGCGCCCCGGGGCGGCAGGGTGGCTCGGGCGGCTGGCGAGAAGGCTCCAGGTGCGCGCCCGCAGCGTGCCCTTGGTTCCCTCTGCCTTGCGCGGGGCTCCCGCATCCTATCGGGTGACTACGGGGGCACTGGGAGAGGGGCTGGGCGGCGGGCGGCAGGAAGAGGGGGTCGACCCGGCGCCAATGCGGGCCCCTCCCGGCTACCTGGGACGCTCCCCAAAGCCACTGCGGGCCAGAAAGTTTACACCGGAGCAGGCAGAGGGGGAGGTCGGAGGCGCGCAGGTGCAGTCCCGAGAGCCTTCAGGACTCGATTCTGCTCCTTTCTCCCCTCTCGTTCCTTCTTGGTCCCCTTCCTCTTTGTCCATTTGGTCCTGGAAAGGGGGACATTACAAGTGGAGGCCTCCCGAGTCCCCGAGAGCCTTCAGGACTCGATTCTGCTCCTTTCTCCCCTCTCGTTCCTTCTTGGTCCCCTTCCTCTTTGTCCATTTGGTCCTGGAAAGGGGGACATTACAAGTGGAGGCCTCCCGAGTCCCCGACGGCCCCCTTCCCGGTACGCAGGTGGAGCGGCTGCCCGCAGCGCCAGGGACCGGCGGGTGAGGAGGTGCGAGAATTCACCTCGGAGCTCACTCAGGCCTCCAGAGACTTTAGAGCAGCTAAACACGGAGTTAATCTGGATACACGTCCCCGCCTCTCCCCTCGGGGTCCACCGATGGGGACCTTTGAACCTCGAAAGTTAGTGCACCATTTTGCGTACAGGTGAATTTTTTCTGGGGAGCGGAGTCTCACGGCTTTTATCACAGTCTCAAAGGGTTTGGAGTCTGGGAACAGGAGCTCTAATGAACTGCATTTGTTTTCTGAGGCTCTGACTGGTTTGAAGTAACCCCTCTTCCCAATGTTTACGTCCAGCCCATTCCTTAGTGTTAAGACGCGGAGAAAGGGTTGTTTTAAGATATCATTTAGCTGTCAGCGCAAATGCCCTTTTAAGATTCATTGGCTGTCTGGTTTTGAGAACATTTATTCCTTTGAAGTCCCCATCTAATCCTTTGAAGGGATTTGTTACACAGACCAAAGGAGCTGGTTAATGACTTGTCCATTTGTGCTTTTAAGAGGCATTTGTTTTGTTTTGTTTTCTTTTCTTTTTCTGCTTTAAAAGAATTGTGCTTTCCTGATTGAAGTACCTCCTCCTCCCAATTTCAGTCTCCTATGGTGTTTATATACCTGGGTTTTACCCTCAGTTATGAGCATAAAAGCTCAGCGTGTTCTCATAAAACACAGGAAGTACCATGATCTAGTGAGAATATAAACATCACTATTCAATCTTGAAGGTTCAGATGCCAGTTCTATAAGGAGTCTGGTTTGTTCTAACAAAAACCCAGCTTCCTTAAATTCTCAGGAGAAAGATAACATTCCTTTTTAAAAGTATATATCTACGAAAACACTGGGTTTAAAGGGTGGTTTGCTCTTTTTTTTTTTTTTTTTTTTTTAAAAACGAGAATTACAACTTAGCCCTGAGTTTTCAGAGCCTGGGCAAGACCATAGTTTTTTTTTTTTTTTTTTTTTAACAAACCGAGAATTACAACTTAGCCCTGAGTTTTCAGAGCCTGGGCAAGACCATAGTAATACAATAAGAGAGTGAATTGGATGAATTACCTTTGAAAGGCTCCTAATGCCTTTTTGATCAGCAGAACTCAATCACTAAGCCTTTTATTAGAAGATAAATCTGGAGGTTTCAGTTCCCTGAAGGAAGTGTTTCTCTTTTCAAAGTTTGTGCTTTTTCACTGAGATTGGAAAATTGAAACATCTTTACCTCATAACACAGCAAATCACCTACTGAAGGGTGGTCTTCTCCATCCTTTGCTTCACTATTGGCCCAATGCAGACAAGCTCTCACTGGAGATGGACCAGCTAACTGAGAAATTACTGCAGCATATTTTTTCCCTGTCGCTCTTGGAAATTGTTGAGAAATTATCCCAGAAATCCAGGCCGAAGTGTGTTTAGGTATAATATTCAGATAGGCTCTAGGAGAATATAAAATATTAGAGAGTGAATCCCACTCAGTTATTGGCTTGGAACATCCAAGATAATGTGATATTATCATTACTTATAGAAAGATAGAGCCAATATCTTATCCTATCCTTTCCTATCTCATCTCAGGCCATCACAATAGCTCTTTTGCTTACCATTTCTACTGCGGACCACTATCCTACCAGAAGCTTCATGGTGTACATACTTGGGTCAGTGCAGCTGAGGTCAGTCTGATCAGCATCTCCAAATTACACACAGAAATTTGCCAAGGCATATGCAAATGAAACATTTAGACAGAAAGACAGCCAGAATTCACAGACATAGAGATTTCCTCTACTGTGCCACCAGTGGCCCCTGCCGCCTCCCTGTGAGTAACAAGAGCAGTTCATTTTAATTCCAGGCAGTTTTGCACCAGCTAAGTGCAAATTCTCTTCTTTCACAGTTGGTTGGCAGGCTCAGCATCAGGGCATCCAGCAGTGTTGAGGCTCCATGAGTGTTTCTGAAAGCCTAAAGTAAGACCGTGGGCTGTGGAAAGGGAAGAGGTGCGATTCTGAGGTGATGCATGTGAAAATGCTGGTGTTTTATTTTTCAGGAGGGAGAATGGAAGTCTTTATGTATAACCCGTGGAAACAAAGAAAAGCAAGCCAGGCTTCAGTGAATTCTTAAAACTATTCCAAGTCTTGAGTTTTTAGGAGAAAATTGGTTTGGGTTTTACATTTCCCTGTTCTAAAAGGAGATCATCTCACAAAGGACCCTCATACTTGATCTACAAAGTGTGGGCTCTGTTTCAGTAGCCCTAAATGTTCACAGGGAGGTATGCACATTACAGACAGAGTCACCTGAAGCTGTCAGAGTGTGTTATCAACACTGATTCCCTGAGCCTTGTCATCCCTAGGTGTAAAGGACGCTGAGTGCTGTGGGCACAGGCCAATCAGGACACAAGGTCACCTGGTAAGTTAGCGTCAGCTGGAAATAGGAGACACAGATTTATACCCTCAAAGTACCGAGGGGGAAACTCCCTTTGGGAATTTCGCAGTTCCGTTTTTCAAAACATAATAGAATTTTGAAAAATAGATTTGTGTTTGAGTGAGGTTCAAGAAAGCACTTGTTAATTGTCACAGATCAACAGGTATTCTGTTTTTCCTGTGTTCCATCTGGTGAGAGAATCATTTCTCCCACTCCCTTTATTTTCTTTTGGCAAATAAAGTTATTTCTTTTAAAATGTAAAACAGAAGTATTCAGATTCCAGTTAAGCAAAGTGAACTGGAGACACTGTATGACATTGTAGTGAAAGAACACACATCACAGGCTCACTCCTAACAATTGCCTGGATGGAGATTTCAGAGTCTGTTTAATTGCCTTCCACTCTCTTGAAAATAATTATTGCCCCTCTCCCCATTTTCTTTCCTAAATCAACTTCATCCAAATCAGTTTTGCTGCTGTAAAAATGTTCACGTGCAGAAAGTTGTTTGACGTCCTTTATAAGTTTAACAGTGGCCTTAATTAACACCTGAGATTTTTCTCCAAGGATTCATTCAGTAAGAAGGATGGGATGCGAAATTTCTATTAAAAGATAATAATAATGAGAATTTCTATTATATCCTGATGGAATTTTTATCTCGGAAAGAGAAAGCAACCTAAAATAGCTTGGGGTCCCTTTCTTCTTTCTTCCTTCCTCACCTCTGCTTTTGTGCAGTTGGGAAGGGTTTGAGGCAGGATGGCACGGAGATTCAAAAGGGAATTTGCAGATTCTTAGCCCTCTAGGAAGTCACTGTCCTGGCAGCAAGCAACTCTTATAGTCCTGGGTGCCTCCTCTGGGTTTGGGCAGTGCCCTTGGGTCCTGGGTATGTGAGGAGGAAAGAGGAGAGGTGTGGAGATGGAGTAGGAGGGAGATAAAGAAGAGAGGCCACAGGTGCCGAGAAAGTGGGGCTGGACTGTGGGTAGGGGTGCATTACCACCTGCAGTTGCCTTGGTGCCTCTTGGTGCCCCGCACTTGCTTCTTCCGGGATCTAGGATGTAGGGTATGTCTCTCTCCTGTCCTAACCCAAGGCTGGCAGGGTCTCTCTGCAGTCTGCCCTAGGTATATGCTGTCCCCTCCTTTCTTCTATGTCACCTACAGGCAATTGAATGAGGTTTCCTGTTGGGCACAGCATGACTCCTGACCCCTCTCCTGTGCTTGTCTCCCCAAGGTGAGGTCATCCCTAATGCTTGGCCTTCTTTCCAGGGAGCCAGTGGATGAGGTGCTGCAGATCCCCCCATCCCTGCTGACATGTGGAGGCTGCCAGCAGAACATCGGGGACCGCTACTTTCTGAAGGCCATCGACCAGTACTGGCACGAGGACTGCCTCAGCTGTGACCTCTGTGGGTGCCGGCTGGGCGAGGTGGGCCGGCGCCTCTACTACAAGCTGGGCAGGAAGCTCTGCCGCAGAGACTATCTCAGGTACTGTCCTCGCTGCCCTCCTGCAGCTGTGGGTCTCTCTTCCCCAGTGCCTGCCTCTTGCCCCAGCGAGGTCAGGCTGGGTCTCAGCTGCCCGATGCAGGGAAGCAGTTGGCCTTTCTTCCTGTTCGGGAAGCATGTTCTCAGGGATACATTCCTACATGGTCAAATTCTAATATTTTAAAGGCAAGAGAGTGATGAACACAAAATTCAGAATAGCGGTTCCCTCTGTAGGGCAGAAAAGAGAAGGTTGGGGAGAAGGCGCAGGACGTGCCAAAGGAACTGGGAGCTTTGCAGTTTCTGAGTCTGAGTGTGGGCTCCTAGGAGCTCATTTAATGCTTCGAAATATACCTATAGATTCTAAATATTCTTTTGTAAGATTCCAATATTACGTGATGAGAAATTTAAAAATAGAAAGCATGATCTCACCACGGCACTCCAAGGATTTGACGGTCACAGCAGGAAGGCCCTGAAGTCAGCTGTAGGTTTGAGCGCCGGCACCACTGCTTTCTAGCTCTGTGACCTTGGACAAGTCACGTAACATTCCTAAGCCTCGATTTCCTCATCTGTAAAATGGGGATAACAGCGATACCTACTTCCAAGAAGGGGTGGGAATTAGATGGGGTGATACATGTAAAGTGCTTGGCTTGGTGCATGAGTATGAGGACCAAATAGATGTTAGCTGCTCATGACATTTATCATTAGAGTCTTTTCCGATTGAATGAACAAAGAAATGGAAGAATGGAAAGGCAAAATAGGAACTCTAGAACACGCAGTGAGACAGGCACTGAGGACATCTTGGATGCTCTGGGTCATAAGTTTGGCTATGTGAATTTTCCAGCACTCAGATGAGTGCCTTTGCCCGGAATGTTCTAGCATTTCCAGTTTCATATTAGCTGCTGCAGAGGTAACTCTGTGCCCTCTGCTGTCAAATCTGCTTAACTGTGTAGCTGTCAGATTTTTGCCATCTTCCTGTGGCAGAGGGTCTGTGGAGCATGGAGCCCTAATACATTAGAACCACCCAAACCAGGGAAGCTTGTTTAGACTCCAGCGCCCTTGGCTGCCAGGCCAGCTCTTTCTCCCAAACCTGCCCTCAGAGCATTTTACATTAAAAAAAAAAAAAAAAAAAAAAAAAAGGAAATCCC